TTTCTTTCTTTCTTTCTTTCTTTCTTTCTTTCTTTCTTTCTTTCTTTCTTTTTTTTTTTTTGCTGTTGACGATATGTATTTATTTCAAACGGAGGCTAAATTTGTACACTCTTGCTAAATCCAGGGTTTACATCGTTTTCAGTCTTTGTAAATTCTAGGCTAGCACACAGCCTCCGTACCATACACATGGTAACATGGATGCTGGTGTTGGAGAGACCACTGTTCAAATCCCGGCCACTGTCGCTCCCTCACCAGTATCCACACAAGCAGAAAGGAGACAGGGTACACTTGCCTGAAGCGTTGTGAGGACAAGCTGGGGTGGTGCACACAACGCACAGCCCCTCCCCCACCTCACAGTGAGCACCCAATCTGAGGCCACAGCCACTGTAGCATTATTCAAACATGTATGCTGGATTCTGAAAACAAAGCTCACATGGGTGTGGACATCATGGCGTGTTTACCAGAAGCGTGGCTTTATAGTTCTGGGCCATTTGGTGTGACTATTCTCACCATTTTATGAAATCTGTAGGAGGCCAACCGTCTGGGTCCTCTAGATTCACACACCAGTCTTTGCATACTTAGGCAAACACTCTGCCACTGAGCCCCAAAGCACATTTCCCAGTCCCCATCTTGTGTTAGGCAAATGTGACGACCACTACTCACAGACACCTGCTGGCCAGACGCTAATCTTGAATACACACATGGGCATTGCCTCTCCTTACCATTTTCTCTGGACTGTATTATGATGAGCCTTCAGGAGAGACCCTCCGCGAGCACCAGCAACAGCGCTACATCCGTGACATCCGTGGAGAGGGACTAGGACAGGGGAGGGGTCTCTTCTGTGGTCACAGCTGCTGTGACCACCATACGCAAGGGGTGGCAGGGGTAACCCAGATGCTGAATACCCAAGATTCACACATAGAGCGGCTTGTCAAAATGCCAATCACAGCCTATGAAGGAACTTCACTGTGATGTTTGGGTTTGAAAATCCAATGCTCCTCTGGCCACGGTTTTTAGTATGCTGCTCCTTGCCTTTCTGGCTGATGTCTTTTACAATTTGTGTTCGACTGGCTAGCGTTGAAGCCCAAAAACAGTTGCTTTCCACAGTCCCTCATCAGTGGTAATGTGGTCAGCTGCTAGGAACAATAAAGCCAGGAAGCACAGGTGAGGCTGGGAAGTGTGTGTGTGTGTGTGTGTGTGTGAGTGTGTGAGTGGGAACACTGCTCTATCCCCCACCCCTGACCCCATCCCCTGTCTCCCAAACCTCAAAGACTGTATTATTTATTCCTGAGGGCATATGTTCCTAGAAAACTTCCGACTGAGATGTGGGACACCTCAGAGGTGGACACTGAAGACACAGGATAGAGGACCCTGCTGAGTCCTGTGCCTTCCAGCTGTGGGGGTGGAAACCCAGAGTCCACATTTATGTGATAAACAGGCTCTCAAGTTGCTTCAAACAATGGGGCTCCATGGGGTTCCAAGATGGTATTATTTATATGGACAGTATCTATCAAATATGTATCAGTGAAGGTCATACAAAGGTCAATAAATTATTCCTCTGTTTAAAGATGCTCTTCAAAAAAGATTTAAAGACTGGGTATTACTAAATTTAATCTGAACCTAAATATACCAAGGAAAATTCACAGCTACTGCCATGGAACTTCCCCTCAGCCCCCAGAATTTGATGAGTATGAGCATGCTGGTCACATTACTCCAAAGCAAAACTCTGGGATCTCCTCTGCTCTGCTCTTGTTGGTCAGGGAGAATGTTTTTATGCTATGGGTTGCAGGGCCACCCTTATAAGCACGGTCTGTGGGCCGCCACAGGCTATTTCCTGCTAACTTCTGGGAGTGTTCTGTGTACAGATTAAAGCATAAAAGGCCTTCCCTGGAGTGACGGGCCCTAGAACCCTGTCCTGAAATACTGCTGTCCTCTGAAGCTATTATTGGAAATACATTCAGAGGTCTGATATTTCAGATGTTAGGATGGAACCAAGATTATGCCTCTGATAATGCCCTCGTCTCCACTCCAGTAGCTTCCTCAGGGCTATAGAACCAGTCAGTATGCCAGAAGCAAGAACAGCCAGTGGTGTGGCTGGTATAGTTATCATTCACCCCTCAACAATGAGCGGGGCAAGTGCGATCCCCTTCTGAAGACCGCAGACGAATGTGTCATGCGGGTGCTGCCCCACACTACCATGGGACGTCCGGACTGTGGAAGAATAAACTGAAAACCATTTTGTCTAATGCATTATATATTGAAAATTTGCTTAAAATATTCAGGTTATCTCTAATCGCAAAAATCCTTACAGAATCAATTCTAACAGGCAAGCAGATGTTGCCACTAAAAGCTGAGTTTGAAATAGTTTTTGATTTTTTGTGGGTATATTTTGCCTTCTTCATTGACTGTTTCCTGTATAAGCTCTGCTAATCAGTCCTGCCTACAATCTGACCACCATGGCGTTCATGTTCAGTCTGCTTCACAAGCATGCCAGATCAGTTCTCTCCCTTTCTTCCCATCTCCTCTCCTCCGTCTAACCCCTCCTTACCTCTCCCCTCCCCTGCTCTTCAAGCAGCTGCAGTCCCCATTTCATGAAGCCTCTAAACAAATATATGTAAAAGTATGTTGTCTAAATGTATGCATAGTACCATGTAGGTGCTGGGAACTGAACCTGGGTCCTTGAAAGAGCAGCAGGTGCCACCCTTCCTGTCCCCTTCATAATATCTTAATGGCTCAGGGAGGCCATTCCAAGACAACAAAGGTAGTCTCAAAATGTACCACAAAAATTTTTACGTAATTTTATTTTTAAATGCAGGCGTTAATTTGTTTCTAAGATTTATTTATTTTATAAAATAAAATATGAGTGTTCTATCTGCATGTACACCTTTAGGCCAAAAGAAGGGAGCAGACCCCCATTACAGATGGTTGTGAGCTGCCATGTGGGTGCTGGGAATTGAACCCAGGTCCTCTGGAAGAGCAGCCAGTGCTCTTAACCACTGAGCCATCTCTCCAGCCCATAGGAGTTACTTTCTAAAATGGCATAGGAGTGGATATAAATGTACCAACCAGAATGGACCAGTATGTGTTCTTACGAAAGTTATCAGTTTCTTGAACACCACACCAACAGGCAAGAACCAGTACTTGAAACACCAAAAATACCTTTAATGCAGTCACTCAGAAACTGAAAAGGCAAAGCCACCCTGCAGCTGGATGCCACACAACAGGAGACCAAACCAAGACCGCCATCCTTCAGAATCCCCAGTTCACGCCACATCCGCATATACTGCATCTGTTGTCTTCGGCAGCTTTACAGGGCTGGCTTAAAACTTGATATCTTTCTGAATTTTCCAAAGTGTTTCTGCACTCTTTACCATCTGGGCTTCCTCTGTGGGGCTCAGCTTTACCTTTATAATATCGGAGATGCCATTTTCTCCCAGGATACAAGGCACACTGAGAAACACCTCTTCTTTTATTCCATATAGACCTTTAATTTTGGTGGAAACTGGATGTGTTTTCCTGAGATTCTTCAGAATACTTTCTGCAATATCAGCTACAGACAGGCCAATGGCCCAGGAGGTATAGCCTTTCATTCTGATAATGTTATAGGCACTGGCAATTACTTCTTTGTGGACATTTCCCCACTGCTCGGGGTCTTTGCTAGTTCCTATGGCGGAATTCAGCTCTTTCAGAGGAACGCCAGCGATGTTCACTCCACTCCACACGGGGACACTTGAGTCTCCATGCTCCCCAAGGACCCACCCGTGGCAGCTTTCAGAGTGAATCCCAAGCCTCTCGCCAAGCATGTAACGGAAGCGAGCAGTATCTAAGTTGCAGCCACTTCCAATAATACGGTTTTTGGGAAACCCGCTCAGTTTCCAGGCTACGTACGTTAAGATATCCACTGGATTGGAAACGATAATCAATTTGCAGCGGGGGCTGTGTTTGATAATACTGGCGATCATCACCTTAAAGATGGCTACGTTCCGCTGGACTAAATTCAGGCGCGTTTCGCCTTTCTCTTGGCGTGCACCTGCTGTGATAACCACTAACTCAGAGTTGGCAGTGACGTGGAAATCTTTGCTGCAAACAATATTTGGCATTTTCATGAAGACACTGCCATGCTGGAGATCCATCGTCTCACCCTTCATTTTTTCTTCATTACTGTCAACAAGGGCAAGTTCATCAGTCAAGCCTTTCGCTATAATGCTGATGGCACAGGCCATGCCAACTGATCCAGTTCCTATAATGGAGACCTTGTTGTGGAGAATGGGCTCTTCGGAGCTGATTTGCTGGATAAGTTTACCCTTCAGGGTCGACATGGGGGACGTGGGAGTGACGCTCCACCAGGCCCGGCTGAGGGGCACACGCAGCACCCGACGGGGCCGCAGAGCTATGCTCAGGTCCCTGAGATCTACTAAAGCTGCACTCACTCTTTTGCTGGTTCGCAGGATGCTCACAGTCCAGGCCATGGCTGCTCATTCAGGTGGATGAAGTGAACCAGGCGAGGAAGACGGTTGATGCCAGAACGGTCGGTCGTTGCCCCATAGTACAGGCCCAGACCCTCCTACTGCGGCTGCGCAGCCCCCACTCAACGGTGCTGCGCGTGGGCTAAGCACAATTTGGGTCTTCCAACTCCGGCAACAGCAGGCCTGCAACAAGCCTTAATAAAGGGCTTTCACCCGCAGCAAGGAATAATGGAGTTAGTTTTACAAACTCCTACTCTCTAATGTTGATAGATAGAACCCAACCCTGACCCCTGGAATTAATGGTTTCCTGTTCTCAGTGTGTATATGACGAAGATAAATCCTTGAGCCACAACAAGGATCTACCAAGAGGCAGCATGGCGGGAGGAACAGGTTCCTCGTTTAGTGTTTTCAGCTGGAGGTCCTTCTGCTTAGGAGGGATTTTTGCCCGTATCCTAACTGTGGTGCGCCTGGACAAGGCAGGAGTGAGAGGCAGGAGCCTTAGTAGAAGCTGACTGCAGAGTTTAGAGTGCCTCCTCTTTCTCCTGCCAAAGGAGAGCCCGCGATCGAGTACAGATTAAAAAACAAAAGGAACTCAGTGGGTAAAAGCATAATACTCCTGCAGGGAACCCAAGCTGGGGTCTCCACACCCACACTGGAGGGCTCAGAACGGCCTTTAGTTCCAACTGCAGACACCTCACGTGCTCTAGGTCCGAGGGCACCTAGTACAATTGGCGAGTATAAAACTCAGGCGCACACACACTCACATAAATGAACAGATTAGAAATGACACAACAAAAACCAAAACAAAAAGTTTTTCCTAAGCCCTGCAGTTTCTTAAGGAGAAAGATGGCCTTACAGTCCTCTACTGAAATGAAGGTGTCTTTGGAATGACCTTGGAACAGCAGGTTCACGTTTAGCCAATGTATAGATTAGATTACTGACTAAAGTAGTGAAATACAATTACTTTGCAAAGCTGGCACCAGTATATCTCATCTCCTCTGTGTTTTTCTGAATCTTGTGAACTAATCTCAAACCTCTGAGGAGATGCAAACCTTACAGTTTATGACAGACCTAACGAGCTGCAAACGCCCAGCAAACATGAGAAGCGCTCGGGGCACGTCCTCTTGTAGACTGTTTCCAAGCCAGAAAGAAGCAGAGCCACTGTGACGCAAAAGACAGACAGATGAATTCTCTACACGCTGGCAATCAGATTTATGGCAGCAAACTGTCACATTAAAAACTAATTAAAATGGTGGCCACTATTTTAGAGGAATCCACAAACTATCACTGATAGCTGCAATTTCGTTCATCCCACTCCTCACTGGGAGTGTTCAGCCTGACAACTGGTCCACCTTCTTTCTCTAATGATTCCCGTGACCAGTCAGGCAAGTTGTTTTCCAGGGTGAGAGCTCTTGAGTCTGAGATTCAAGGACATGGTGACTCTTAGCTGGACAGCTTCTATTGACAGTCATTTTCCTTCCAGAGATTGAGCCTCTTCAGAAATGCAATCTTGATGACAGCAGGCTCTTCAGTCTTTCCCCTCAGTCACAACTAAATCAATTTTGAAGGGAAAATGACAACATTCCAAAATAAAGAATACCCCAAACAAAGCAGTTCTTTACTTACAGTAAGTCTCAAGACAGCAAGCATGAAGACAGGCAAGACGGTCATGACGTCCAGAGAAGATGGAGGGCTACTCAAAGATATGCAAAGCCAAACATAGCCAGATAGCTCCTATTGGCTTTCTATCTTAGGTGATTCATTATTCCTTCAATTGAAGACCCAGTTCAAAATATCTATTAAAATGAAGCTGGGTGGTGGCAGCACACACCTTTAATCCCAGCACTTAGGAGGCAGAGGCGGGTGAATCTTTTGAGTTTGAGGCCAGCTTGGTCTACAAAGCTAGTTCCAGGACAGCCAGGGCTACCCAGAGAAACTTTGTCTTAAAAAACAAAACCAAAACAAAACCAAAAAAGTAATGTAATATTACAGTTGAGGCAGGATGCCACTTCAATGCTTTTGGCTACATCACTCAGGAGAGGGAAAGATGAAGAGCAGGACCACCAGCGTGTATCTAGAGCAGCGGTTTAGTAATGGAGATGGAGCTTTCATTTCCTGGTCACGCGGTTCCAAATAATCACACAGAAACTTATATTAATTACAAACTGCTTGGTCTATTGCTCAGGCTTATTACTAACTAGCTCCTACTTTCAAATTAACCCATGTCTATTAATCTACGCATTGCCATGTAGCTCATGGTTTTACCTGTGATCTAGTACATCTTGTTGCTCTGGTGGCTTCTTGGCATCTCCCTCACTCTGCCCTTCTCCCTGTATCTCTGCTTGGATTTCCCACCTGGCTCTATCCTGCATTGCTATAGGCCAAAGCAGTTTATTAACCGATGGTAATAAAACAAATTCACAGCATACAGAAGGGTTATCCCATAGCAGGCTCTCAGCCTTCCTAATCCTGTGACCCTTTAATACAGGTCCTCATGTTGTGGTGACCCTCAACCATAAAATTATTTCATCACTACTTTATAACTGTAGTTTTGCTACGGCTATAAATCCTAACGCAAATATCTGATATGTGACCCCCCCCCCAAAGGAGTCATGACCCATGGGTTGGGAACTGCTATCTAGACTGATGACAACTGCCCCCTCTCCACCCTGTATATCCCCTCCACCTGGACTCTCCCTGCCAGCCCTTGCCTTCCCTCCTTTCTCAGGAGTCTAGTCAATGCCATCCTATTGCATATCTGTCAACCCTCTAAGCAGAGTGAGTTTTTAAAATGCTGTGTCACAACTGTGCCCGGAAGCCATGATGGATTTTGTTACAAACGGTTAAATGTAGAAGCTTGCGGCTGTGCCAGAGAGGCTGCTCTTATTTGTCAGCACAGTCCTGTCCTCTAGGACATGTCTGAGTGCAGGGACGAGGACCCAGTGAGGCGGTGAGGGACAGAGCAGGCCAGGTCCTCAGGGAGCTAGAATTCTCAGGGCAGAAGCTAACAAGGTGGGTAGGTGAGGACCCCTAGGGCCTGTCTGGAAGACTAACATGAAGAGTTTCCAGAGGAAGCTATGAGTTAGTTAGGGATGTCTCAGCTACTTTTCTCAGCTAGGCCTTTCCCAAACCTGCCACCTTAAACTGGAGCAACAGCAACACCCACAGGGCCGGAAGCACAACAGAACAAAGCGTGGGAGCAGAGAGCACTTCACTCCTTTAAAACTATTTAAAGTTGAGAGCTCATGACCATAACCAGCAGAGAACTCCTCAGTGAGGGAAAAAGAGAAGCTGAGAGGGCAAAGCCAGCGCTACAGCTGACCTGGAGGCTGCTGCGGTGTAGTTCCGGCAAGGAGGGTGCTTGCTGTAGAACACAGCAAGGAGGGTGCTCCTCGGAGAACTCAAGGAGGCTGCTCCCCGGAGAACACAAGGAGGGTGTTCCTGGTAGAACACAGCAAGAAGGGTGCTTGCTGTAGAACACAGCAAGGAGGGTGCTCCCGGTAGAACAAAATCAAGGAGGGTGCTCCTGGTAGAACAAAATTAAGGAGGGTGCTCCCAGTAGAACAAAATCAAGGAGGGTGCTCCCCGTAGAACACAGCAAGGAGGGTAACATGAAAACTAGTTTTTAAAAAATTAAATTAGAAACTGAATTGAGCTGCTCACAGATTAAGGTGATCCTCATGTGAGGGTATTTACAAATCTTAGCCTTCCATGTGGAACACAGGTATAGAAGAGGACCACCAAAAAAATCACTCAGGATGACTATTTAAGAATTAAACACTAAAAAATGAACTGGCCACTCTTCTGATAAATTCTCCAAATCACATTTTTGCATCATCATATTCATTTTTTAAAAGATTAATTTATTAATTACGTATACAATATTCTGTTTGCTTGTATGCTGCAGGCCAGAAGAGGGCACAAGATCTCATTACAGATGGTTGTGAGCTACCACGTGGTTACTGGGAATTGAACTCAGGACCTCTGGAAGAGCAGTCAGTGCTCTTAACCTCTGAGCCATCTCTCCAGCCCCAACATCATATTCATAACTGCTGATTCAATGTGAAAGAACTCAGATTAACCAGTAAAAAGAAAGGGATTTATGACTGTGTTTGATTTGTGTAACTATTTTATATCCCTATGTACCCAGGGTCATGAAAACATTTCTTAGGGAAAAGGGTGGAGAGGGGAAAGAGTTAAGAAGCCCCATGCTACAGCCCTGAAGAAGCTGGTAGCCCTGAAGAAGCTGGCCGCACTGCAGAGCAGCAGGTAGGGGTGGGCAATCGTGGTGGGACTGGACGTGGTCTCGAAGTGAGTGGGCTCCTTCAAGTAAACCTTTTAACAGGAAGCCATAGAAGGTTTTAAATGAAGCATCATCCATCCGACTTACATTTTAAAAATATCTCTGGCTTCCATGTGGGGAAAAATCTGGGGGAAATGAAGGTGAGGTTGGGACATCAGCCATCAAGGAAAGGTTGTCATGATCAGCATAATTCACAGAATGAAATAACATCAGCACATTAAGTTAATTTATTTTTGAAAGAGGATCTCCTTACATAGCTCAGGCTGCCCTTAAAACTAGAAGAGTCATGTTCTGGGATTATAGTCATGTGCAATATCATAAAGATTAGCATGCAAATAAATGAATAAGGAAGAGCTGAGGAAATGGCCCAGTCAGTAGAGCGTGTCCTGCATAAACATGAGGACCTAAGTGTGGTCCCAGCAGCCATGTAAAAGCTGGTGCAGCAGGATGAACCTCAAGTCCTGGTCAGTCTAGCCAAATTAGTAAATCTTAGGCTGAATGAGATGGAGAGAGATTGAAGCTGTCTAACACTGACCTTTGGGCACGCACACACACACATGCGCGCGCACACACATTTTTTAAGTATTCTGGAAATCTTTTAGTTAGGAAAATTCAGTTTGAGAGAATGCTTCATTTTCTATATAACTGAGAAGCTAATAATGACAGACAAATCTATCAACATATGTAATGTTTCAGAACTCTATCTGTAGAGACTGATCAATAAGAGGTGGCTTTCACGTGAAGTGTAAGAGAGGCGACAGTGTCAACTCCGTACCCAGTGCTGTGTTTAGAAAGAAGTGCTCATGTGAACCCAGTGAGCTCAGTGATGAAAACGGAGGAAACGCAGAACCCTAACCCCCTCCCTCCTGTGGGATCCATGCGGGAGCACTGAGGTGCCGCAGCCTGGTTCGTGTCAGGCTCCGAACACCATGTCTCTTCCGTGCCGCTTATCTCTCCCAGTAACTGGCGCACATTCCCGCTTCATAGAATGCTCTCAGGTCCAATTTACTTATAAAAAGAAAATGGTACTTTTTTTAAAGAAGTATTTTGGAAATGTACTCAAAGAGCAGATTTCCCCCTTCCCTATACTTAAAAAAAAATACTCCAAGTCATTATCTCCCACTTTAAGCTGAGTGAGACCATGTGATTCAGACCTCTGTCACCATGCTCTTCCGCATTACATCAAATGCCTCTCCCCAGCTCCAGCTAGGCCATCCGAGCTGCTGCAGTGGAACAGGAAATAGGGTGACAGAGACGTTCCTGTCACCTCAGACTTGAACTGATTAACTGGTGCACAGTGCTACTTCCAATTCATTTTTAAATGACTCCAGGAAATGATTTCTCAGTCTGCAAGGCTGACAGGTCGCGATGACTGAACTGCAGCTCCCGCAGATCCTGTCAGAGGCGGAAGGGAGCAGAGTGGGAGTCAGGAGAAGAAACCTGCTCTTCTTCCTGGGCAGAGCAGCTGATTAGGCCACTTCAAAATGGCTGCCATTAACAATTTGCCAGGAAATTCAGGCTTGCTTTTAACCTTTAGCTGAACCAGTAAAAAAATATCCAGCACCAAGAAGCCTATTTCCCTTCTTAGACACCTTCAAAGTTAAAACTTGGGAGCCTTCCCACAGTTTTACATAACTACAGGCCAGCTGTTTCGTCTGAGACAAGTAAACGGAGTAGTGAGCAACACTGGGGAGACACATGCATGTCCTAGTCATTGGGGAGACAGACACATGCATGTCCTAGTCACTGGGGAGACAGACACATGCATGTCTTAGTCATTGGGGAGACAGACATATGCATGTTCCAACAAGAGACACTGGGGAGACAGACACGTGTATGTTTTAGTCACTGGGGAGACACATGCATGTTCTAATATGAAACATTGGGGAGACACATGCATGTTCTAATAAGAGACACTAGTGAATATTGATGAAATTAAAGTTAGCAAAGAGGACAAAGAAAGAATTCCACTGTTTTTAGTAAAGGCCCTCACAGTGGCATAAGGTTTAGAAGTAAGCCTAAAGTGCGAACATAAAAATTATGTCTCAAAAATAAGAGAAATCAATTAAAATATATATATTAGCAGTTACAAAAAAGAACTGGAGAAAATAATTTATTTATTTATTTATTTATTGAAGCAGTCTTGCTCTATGCCCATGCTGGCTGGAACTTAAGCAGCCCAAGCTAACCTCAAACTCTCAGGTACCGCAATTGTAGGTGTGCGTCAGCTTGCCAGGTTGGGCAAATAAACATGCCAGAGTGCATCCCAACTTTCCAGGGTCTCTCAGGACAGAAAACAGCTGGAAGGTGCTTCATCCACACATAGAGCTTTTTGGGTTTGAAGAGAAGGAGGTTGGGCTCTTGGGAGAGAAGCAAACAGCAACAAAAAGAAGCAGGCAGGATCCAGGGAACTGTACAAGCTTCCAGACACAGCTATCTCCAGGTAAACCTTCAATGCCAGAGACTGGCAAATGTTGCAGAGAAAGACAAGCCACCAAAGGCCAGGGGGCTAGGGCTAGGAAACATATGTGCCCTTAGCTTCTCAACTTCTCAACCTTTCTATACAGTCC